GGTATTTAAAAGGGTATTTTCATATATATATAAAATTCAAAACTCACATGGATTATGAATTACTTAGCTTTACTAAGATGCAAAGTGCCTTTTTACAACTGTAAAACAGACACATTTTATTGAAACAAGTTTTTCTAAAATGTATATATAAATTTAATATAAATATAAATAGATTATTTCTTATCAATTCTGAAGAGGGTTTATAACAGGTGATCATTATGATTTACAAATGTCTATTTGGAATAGTACCTGAAGCCTTACGGTAAAAACTAAAAGTAAAAACTATAGGTTATATATATTTTATATATATTATATACTATATAAATTATAGCATGTCAAAATAATTCAATATTATCTCTCCAGCTGGAACCTTTCTCTCCACTTATTTTATATTCTCCAGCTGGAACCTTTCTCTCCACTTTTTTCCACCACATTTTATATACACACCACATGGATTTCAGTAAAAATGTAATCATTAAATAACTAATTATGAACTATGTAAACTAAATAACCATTCTTAATAAAAAAACCAGAGAAATAAAGAAGTGAGCCTATCCACAGTGAGTAACTGGATACATGCTATCACTAGCCTACAGATGTTCCACTGTGACTACAGCAGTTTGGTCCATCTGTGTTCTCAGTTAGCATCTTAGCACATGTCCATGTGAAGGGAGGCATATCAGGCATATGGACGTTTAACAAAAGGTTACCCCACATAAATTAGGTTGAATAGCAATCTGTTGATGAGCCGTGGCTAGCTAACGGCTCGCAGCAAAAACAAACAAAAGCGTTCCTGCTCTGTATTTGGCATGAGAATCAACCCAAAGAGTGGTGGGCTTTATTCTTGACAAATCTGTGTACAAGGTCTCCACCAAAATCAGCCTAGAGTTTTTCCACCTGTGGAGAGCAACAGGGAAAGTGGTCGGAGAAGAGCCACCTGTCTTTCAAGTTCAAAAGGATGCAAGTTTTGTCATGATGTTCAGCAGTGACCCCTGGTCAGTACCAGACAGGAGGACGTGCTAAGTACTCTCCTCCTCCAGTGGCTACATGACATACTTGGCATGAAATGGCAGGATGGGGTTCCCAACTGTTTGGGATTATACTGGCTTAGCTTAACATGCATAACATGCTGCATATTAGAAACCCCAAATGGGCCGGCCATGATGGCCGCCTGCAAGATGAGCACTGGCCTTTAGCCAGTCTCTACATGGAGGAGTGACACGAGGCCTCCGTCCTGTTGGTTACCACTGAGCTTGTTAAATGTCCTTCAATGGGATTTGGAGTCACGCGGCACTGACCCTGACAAGAGGAAGGAGCTGGGTATCACATGACGGTTCCTCCACCACATCTTTATCTGCCGTAGTTCAACAAAAGATTTTTTTTTTTTTTTTTTTGGTAACTAGTAATTTTTGGTAATTAGTAGTAGTTTTGTCTTTCAAAAAGTTTAGCTGCTCCTGTGGTTTTCTTATGATGAATTCACAGTCAACCCTGCAGATAATTAGAGACATGATATCAGCTAGGGCTTATCTTCAGCTTGAACACTTCTCATTGGTACTGTACAGGTGCAAAGTGGCAAACACTACACTTCTGCAAAAGTTCCTGCCAAGTGCACGTGTGTCAGTCATACAAGTGAGCAGCCACTTCAACTGCTCACACGTAACAAGGTGTTCTAGCCACTGTCTCTAGTGGTGATGATCAGGTGGAATAATGCTCTTTTGACTTACCAGCTTAAATATATATATATATACCTGTATATATATGTCCGACAATATCAGCCCAATATTAGCATATTATGTAATATCTGTAAGAATTGTTATTGGTTTTTCCTCTGATAATGAAACCCCAATAAATGCCTGGGTTTAGGGTGTCCTAAAAATAGTGTTGGGGAAAAACGGCTGTATATTAAAGTGAAAGTCACTAGATGGCAGCATTGCAGCTCATTTAATTAATCTCATACTCACATACAGCGTCACTAGATGGCAGCATTGCAAACATTACCAGGCCTATATCGGTATGGGTTGATATGGGAATCGAAAGTGTTTGGACAATATCGGCATAGCAGATATCGGACATCCCTAATTATATATATTATACATACACAGATAAACAGGTATATATGGGTCTCTATAGGTCTATGTATACAGGATTAACAGACAGTATATGTATTTAAGTGTATTTCTATGAAGGATTTTCGACTTCAAATTCAGCATTAGCAGCTCTAAAGTGAAACTAAAATGTAAACCAACTGTTTTCTCATTCCATTCATAGAAGTCAGTGTGTGTAAGGGCCTGTTTCAAAGGTGTGCGCGCACACACTTCTGAAAATCACGGGGACACAGGAGGGATCACTGCTTCCCTGCACTCATCTCCTTCCCGTCAAAGTAGGATTATCCCTTTTACTTTGTGCGTACATTGCTAATTCTCCTGCCAGGTTCAACTCCCAGAATTCTCAGGGGAGATTGGCTGTCTCTGGTTCTTTTTTATATTCTTTACTTTCCTCTTAGCCAACTTCTATCGTGCTCTTCCCCATTCACTCTCTCCTCCCCTCAATACCTGGCTCCTTGACTCGCTTTATCTTACTTTTACTGGTGGAAACAAAATCCCCAGCCTTTTTTCTGCCCCGCTCATCCTTCTCTTTCATAGCGTTTTACTAATTCACTTGGAAGGCTTCGTAGTTTGGAAAATCACAGCTGCACAAATAATCTGAGAATAAAAATCATAGTGCTCACCTCTTGTGAAAACTGTCTTTGAAAGTATTGTTGGAAATGGAACTGTGTTTTCAGGGTCTGACTACTGTTTTCAATATCTCTCAGAGTAAAGTTTGAAGAATATGTCAAGGTGACCAGGTACCAAGTATTTGGGTTTTCCAATGATTGTATTTCTAAAATCTTCGATCTGGTTTTTGTTCTATTTCCTTACAGTTTGAATTTCAACGTCCAACATCATTTATCTCAGAGTGTCAATCCATGGCATTCGTCACCTTTTTGGGACACGTCTGTTACTTTTGATAGTTAACACCAGAGACTTGGGTTAATCCACTGCCCTCTCCTCTACAGGGCAACTCTCCAGGTTCGCTGAGACTCTTACTTCCCTTTCATTAAAGATTACAATGTTATGTACTTCCTCCGGTCTGATCTCTGAGTCACTCTGTCCATTACCATTCCAGAAATATGGGGCTCAAACTTCATCTCTGAGGTCACACAAGCCATACTTAAAACCCTGTCTCTCACTCAGACTGCACAGATAACCCACCACTGTCTCTAAGCCTTGCACTTGCACCGCTCTAAATACTTTTCTGCCGCATGAGACTTCCTATTTCACTACCATGGTCCCTCACATGGCATCCTCGGATGTTTCCATTACATCTCTGTCATTTTTCTTCATATATATATATATATATATATATATAATATGAAGACATGTACTGTATTGAGTCGTTTTTCATGACATAGATCCAAACTGCTGCCATCTGTGCAGATCATCGCCTCCAGCTCTAGCAACACTTTTCAATTTCATGAAAGTCCAGTTGATTCCCGACACACACTGAAGATAATCCACCTGAACCATACACCCTTCTCCTGTTTATCCACTATAGTATTTTTAAGGATACATCCTCTACTCTCTTGTATTTTAGCCTATACCATACACACTTTACTGCATCTCAATAACTATAATAGGACCATTAGTCGTGATTAGATCTGCGATTCCCCTGGTTTCTCTATCCACTGTATTCCTGACTCACCAGCCGACGCACCGCTCTAACGGTGGATATTGGTCGACCTGGACCAATTTTGTATTTGTACGTACACACCTTTCCCCTCCTCCTTTTCAGATCAAATGTGATGACGCTGCCAGTCGTGTGGTTTTCATTTCCACTCTCTCACCGTTGGAAGCGGAGACAGCTACCGCTGCTGAGCTGTTTGTTTAGGAATCTGGGCCTGAAAATTGTATTCCATCGACCATGCTTGCTATCAACACACAATTATCTAGGTTAATCATGTGGAACTGTGGCAAATTCACCTGGGGCTCAGGAACTAATGACATTCGCGTCTGGCCCTGCTTTAGTGAAATGGCCCCAGCACCTGCAGCAGGAACAAGGAGATTGCCACTGAAAATTTGGTTTCATTTTGCCCACCACAACCTCCCCCATCCACCCCCCTCCCCCTTCACCCATGTGCCTCCACTTTCAGCTGCTATCACCCTCTGTAGGAAACATTTCCCCCTTCTTTCAGCCTTTCTACTTTCCCTTAAAGTTGATCGTCTTCCAGGGTCCTTGTTTTTTTTACCCTCCTTCCTCTTGAATGGTTTTTACCTTGTGTAAAAAGGAGGCGCTACGACAGCTGCCCAGTCATGGAGCAGAGAGATCTTCACCTCAGGTTTTATTATCACGTCCATTTTTTTTAGCTTTGCTCTATCTCCATCACAGCCAAGGATGACGAAGTGAGCAGGTGACAGAAGATGATGAAAATGATACCTTACGATAAATCTGTGACTGTGGTTCCGGACATAGAGCAACTTGTGTTCTCACTGTATAATTAGGAACGTGATTGAGTGCAGTCAACAGGGCGCTGAGGCTCTTTTTTTAATCACACTTTTACTCCTTTATACTCCTAATCTTTCTATCACACACACACACACACACTCAGAGTCATTCCAACACATGTAAAGGCAAATGCAGTGAGTCAGTGTTACTCACTAATACAAACATATGTTTCACAATCATAGATGTCATCCATGTGTGAAATGGCTGTCACACCTTTACAGGTCTCATTATTTTCAAGTCTCCACGTGTGTGTCCTAACACTTTGGCGACGGAGCACCACAGTCCCAGTCCCAGTGACTGTGTCACCTACATCAACTCTCCTGAACACTGGAGTCAGTTTCCAACTCTGCTCATTTAAGATTATCGGTGAAACAAGTTCCCTCTCATGGACAGCAGTCACCTCACCTCCAAATGACACCTTTATTATCATTCAAACTATGATGCCCTGAAATAACCAGTTTTAAAAAATGCAGATCATTTATTTACATTTCAATCATTTAGCAGACACTTTCATCCAAAGCGACTAACAGAGGAGGATTAACATGATCAAGCATGTGGTTCCTCTGGGAATCAAACCCAAGACTCTCTGCTTCCAAGGCAGGCGCACTAACCATAACACACTGTGGCCTGGCAGTTTGTGGTACGGCTAACTTTCCAACATAATCAGTTCAATTCAGTTATTCAAATTAAAGTGCTATTAGTTTGAGCTCAGGGTTGACTCGTTGAGATGAAATCTACCTTCGCAGACAGACTGTACACAGCTGTAAAAAGAAAGAAAACCCTGTTTGTGAAGGGAGAATGTTCAACAAAACAATTCAATTGAATGCATCTGGTCTGACATTAACACCCAAAAAAGCAAAAATGGAAAAGTGCTCTGGAGCGACATGGTTTAACAGCCTTAGAGAATTTACAGAACGCCTCTTCAGGGTTCAAATTCTCTCCCCTTTTTCACCACTTAATAGCGAATAATGCAAGTGTGCACACTGATAAAAACGTAAGAGCATCTTCATTAATACCAAAGTTGGAAATAGATTTCTGATTTGTCAAGCAAGATCTTCTTATTCCTGTTCAACCGTCTTTTTCTAGACTAGTCGACTAATCTTGTTTATTTGGTCATAGCTGTAATGCCGACACCAAAGCCTGTTACCTCATGAAAGGATCCGTGATGGGATTCCATAGTAACCTGACATATGCATTAATTTTTTTCAAAATAAGTCAGATGATGAAAAAAAAAAAAACTGTTGGAGATTACACATCATGCCAAATGAAGGGAGAGGAATTGGCAGCAATCTGAGAAATTCATGTATTTACTGTTTTATGCTGAAACTTCATCAGTGAAACAGAGTGTGCCACTGCACCACAGGAGTCAATAGATTTACATTTTAAACAACACAGTGGCCTGGGGCTATAGGCCTATATAACCTGTGAATCTACCCCCCCCCCCCGCCCCAACTTCCACTGCTCCCTCATCATCCCTCCTCTATGTGCATCATCTTCCACATCAACATCCAACATCAGTTACAGTGCAAATAATTCCTTCAGTTAAAAGAACAACAGATTACAGCAACTAAGATTGAACCTTCGGTTTTGTACTTCTCCCTTGGCCGTACACAACGTCGACTGAAATAAATAGAGGCAGGAGAACGGAAAAGCAATAGATGGAAGAGTTACGCAGCGACTGGGACAGCGATGTTTACAACATGGCCGATCACCATCCATGAGCACAAATTCATGAAACAAATACTACTTTTAATGTTAATCTTTGGTTGACATTTAATATAATCTGAAATTATGTTATCGACCAACAAAATTATTTGATAAACCAAAAAACAATGAGAATATTTGCTTTTTCAGTACCTACATTGCCAAATAACTATTTTTGTGAAAAATAAAAATACATCAAGTATAACTATAAGAATAATAGAAAATAAATCAGACGTAAAAGGATCATCTTGTCACAGTTTTTGAATGAATGAATGGGTGGAAGAGTGAGCCAGAGTGAGAGTGAGAGAGTTACGAGGGATCTGCGATGAATATTACGAGTTGGCTTTCTTTAGTGGGCTGCGGCCCACAGTAGACTGTACTCCTGGGCTCGAGTCAAAAACGTGACAGTGTCATCATTTGTGCCACGGGACGCTTCAATATTTGTGACCAATTAGACGCTGATATATTTCTAATTCACCATCAATGAATGTTGTCTTTACTTGGCAGTTACTGAAGAAAACACCGACGTACATCTGCTTCACCGGCGCTTCCTGAAACAGAACAGCATGTCACAGGTATGGAGAGGACACAACAGCAGCACGACCAGGTCTGGTTTTAACACAGTCTTTTATTTAAGCAAACAGACTGACTTCAGTTAGCACAGGTTGACCAGTGATCAGGAAACAACAGGTAAGGGGAGAAGGTTGGTGGGTTTACCAGGGCAGAGACAAGGTCAAAGGTTGAAGGTCAGCTCCAGATCAGAGAAACAGTCAGGAAACAAGTGCTGGACCATCAGCATGGGAGAAGATGGTGGAGATCTAAACAGGAGTGCAGGGAGTGGAGCTGTTTATGTACTGGGTGGAGCAGGTGGGAGCAGTTGTTCTGATGAGGGGGCGTGGCTACAGCAGTGACTGAGCAGAGATGGAAGTTTCCACTGCAGAGGAGCAGACTGACATGGTGATCAGGTGAGAGCAAGAGTAGAGGACATTTCTAACCAAGGGCCTGGATTAGAAAAAAAACAGTTCAATAAGTGTATCCATATAAGCTGAGAACAGGGTTAACAGATTGGAATGTAAAAGAAAACTAAAATGCACCAGAGAAAAGAAAAAAATAGATACAGTATTTCAAATGAACCCTTGGATTGCATAGTTAATTTGGTTTCATAATATTTAACAACACAAACTAACACTACTTACCTGCCAATTTAAATCATTTAGAAAAAAGAAACATTCTGTCTTATGTTGCTGGAGCCGTTTGTGATGTTATGTCCTCAGAAATGTCTTCCTGTCCTGGAAGACATAAGTCAAAGAGCACGCTGACAGACAATAAAAGTAAAGGTAAATACTGACTGAGGTGAAGTGAAGCACTTCTTGAACATGAGATTCTGCTCAGGTAATAATATTCACTTTAGAACGGCTTCTCCTGGGAAATAGCCAATCAGACGTTAGCTTTGTACTTATATAAAAACGCCATTGCTTTTCCTATCACAGCCCTAAGGAAACAATAAATGGCACATGAGGACACAGCTGCCCTGTACAGTATATGATCACCAGCAGCCTCTCAGGAGTGTGCATGGGAACAGGGTTGGGGAAGAGGGGGTACACCGGAGCATGTGGGGGATTGAATTTTTAATATAGATGTTAAAAGCTTCACTGCGACGCCACATGGCAGTTGAGCAGGGCACTAAAGAGCTCAGGCTTATATATATGGAAAAGACAGGGAGTGGAGATGGAAGTCAGAGGAGGTCAGAGTCGTCAGGGAGGCAGCCTGGGGTCCTGGTGGAGGTTAGAAGGTCTTGGTTTAGGAGAGGAGGCTAATTTCTTCTCCTTGGATAAACAAAGGCCCGATTAATTGTGCCCCCAGGGTGGGCCTGTGGGGAACGTGGAGGTAGAGCAGAGTGTACCAACAAGGGGCGCTGACAGGGGGAGGTCTGAGGGAAGTGGTGGAGAAAAGTTTCAGCATGCATCTGATTTTACTCAAATACTATATTATTTCTTTATCTTTTTTTTTAAATGACAGTAAGTGTATGTGAATCAACACTGACTAAATTATCCAAACAAAACTACCTCCCAAAATATTATTTCCCATACAGTTCAAAGACTGAAAATAGTGTTTTTGTTTTAGATCTAGATATTATCCATGTGACAATAGCAAGAATCCAGTCAGTGCATCACAAAATCCTCCATTATTTTGTTTTTAGTTCATTTAGCCGTTGAGGTTTTTCAACAGTAACAATACTAATGCTAAGTGAATGTATTGTGCTCGGGTGTAATTACCCCCACCAAGTTCACAGCGGAGATTAAGTTATTGAAAGGGTGTAGAAGTGTCAGACATGTAGGAATATTAAAAGCCTCACCTGTCATCCCACCTTTAACTTTCTAATCTCAAATCTCACATCCGCTTGCCTTTTTCAATTATCTAAGTGTGACTGCATGTTTCCGCTGCTACCTCCCTAAATATTATATTTGCTACACTGAATCAAAGAAAATTAAAATTAATTATCAGTTACAACATCCCCTGCCGGTTAGGAAGAAGCCGCCTTGTATTTTATTTCATTGTAATGATGTGGTATAAGTTGATTAGCCGCCACACTAATCGTTGTCCTAGGGCAACACTGCCCTCTAGTTGTGGTTCAGATTTGTGCACACTGCCAGGCTTCCCTGTTCTCCAAACCAGAGCGTCGAAGTTTGATCACAATAGAATATGTTTAATTTAATTAAAATCCTCTTATAGTGAGCTAACCCCAAAGTGATTCATTCTACACCATTTTCAAGTAATGGTAAAAACATTTTTTTAAAACATTATTCTACACCATTTTCAAGTAATGGTAAATTAAATTTAAATGTTTTGTTAAAACATTTAAAATATATTAAATGTATTATTATTATTATTATATTTGTAAAAAATAAAAAGATTCATTAGCCTTCCAACTTCAAATCCCTACAATCTTGGCGAGTCACAGTGTGTCAGGCTGTGTGCTATCCTTTAGCCATCCCATAATAGATGTTTTTAACTATTTTTTATTACATTGTTATTAAATTGATTTTGACTCATTTTTAACTCTTTTATTCAATCTTTGCTAACATTTCTGGACTTTATAGCTTTTTTACTCCCTTCGTTTGGTTTGATTGTGCACATTCTATTACTAGGTTTTGTAATACCTACATACTCTAAAAAGAAAATGCCAACGGGGTTTGTTTTAGGATTTTCTGTCGACCAGGTACAGTAGACACAACTCACTTCAGCCAGGTGGTTATGGGCAACCTTACACAGGAGGTCCTCAGTTTAGGACTATCTCAGTGTTAGCACAGACTCTACAGTTCCATAAAACCAGGCAGGGGAAGAGAAGCTCCACACTGCATGAGGAGACATGTCTTGAACTGCGACTCTGTGACTTCTGCTTCTCAGTCCTTTGTATCTTAATTCTGTTAGACTTCAACATCCAGCTTGATTTTAAGTTAAAAATACAGTTCAAATTCTGCCCTGCTCCAGATTGTTAAGATTTACAAAAAAAGTGGACACTGACCAATCAAAGGCACTGAGTACATATTTGAATGAAAATATTTTTTATGTAATGTGTTGGTCCTGAAGATATACAGCCTTCAACCCCAGAGATACTTAAAGTACGACTTAGAAAATTAACTTACAGCTTTAGAAATATGTCCTTGGCATTTATTGGTATGCCAGAATTGGATTACAGATTTGGTACAGAACAAGGCCATACAGTAAAACTGAGATCTAAGCAACAGTGATGGTCGACCAACAGTCTTTTAAAACCACACATTAATATTTATGCAATGTTCTTATTCCTAATGTTTTGAGCATGTTGTTGAAGACAGTGTTAATGCAGATATAAAGGCAAAAGAAAAGCAGTATAAAAGAGACATGTTCTAATTGAAACAGAAAAGAATTACTTTTTCATCTTAATTCAATTACATTTTTCTTAACGATACTGGATAACATTTAAAAGAGGAAATAGAACCAAAATAATAAAACAAAAAGAGGAATTGATGGAATGGATTTTTTCTTTTAAATTTCATTTTGTTACCTTATTTAGGATGTTGATGATTGTGAAAGTGGCGGGGATACACAAACTTTTTATAATCACCCATGTTTTCATTATTAGAGTTCAGACAATACATTATGTTGATTAATTACACATTAGAACCCTGTGAGGATAAGTACATAAACGAGGCAGCCAAAATTAAAGATTTATAACATCGTTTTACCCACTTGTAGTAAACAAATAATGTGGAACCTTTGGGTAGCGTTGCCTCTTTTCTCTTATCTGTGAGGATATTGCCCATTTTATGGCAGTCTGCTGGCTCCAATGTCACTCAAATTTACTGAAGAGAGCATCTGTGCAAAGGCTCCTGGGACTTTCCCTCGGCATGTGAGGTCTTGTGGTGCTTCATGCATTTGCGTCCATCTAAGACATGACTCCAAACACGGGGTTGTGGCGGCAGATGCTTGGCCCAATCTCTTCGTAATCTTTTTTAGTGTGGCACACCTGGTAAAATTCAGGCTGTAGAGAGAAAGAAATTCAATGACTTCAACATAAAATACTACAAGACAAAGGTCTGCAAAACATGCCAAAAAGGTTGGTACCACAAACTATTTCTTTATATTTCTGCCATATTAAAGAAGTTAACAGTGTGATTCTAGTACTTACAGTAGATGCCAGCATTGATCCTCCAAACCAAACAGCATATCTCTGCATGTGATGAGTGATTACTTGCACATCAATGGGCTTGGGCTGCAGACAGATAGATCCACACGTTGAAGACAAGCTTTTTATTTCAAAATAATAAAATAAACTTAAGCTAACACAACCTTTCAAGGCAAGCTGTGTTTGAAGGGTTTTGTTTGGGCTTGATTTGAATCCATTGCATAAACAATGATCAGACAATTTTCTAAAAGTATTCGCAACAATCTTTTTTTAAAAAACAGGTGTTAGTTACGATTACAAAAACATAATGTGTCACCTTTAACTTGCCGCCACTGAGCTCTTCGCTTATCTTGAGCCGAGCATCCACAGATCTTTTGAGGTCTCTTTGCAGCCGTCTTCCAAAGTCCCTGAACATGGTGGAGCCTCCAGAGAGCACGACGTTCTGTGGCAGAAACACAAAGTAAGCACTAACACACACTTGTATTCTGTGTGTTTTGTGCTGCTTTTTGTTGAGTCGCAGGGATTTTCTTTTTTTTTTTCTGTACCTTGTACAGTGGACGTCTGACATCAATGGGACAGTTCTGAATGACTTCATCCACTACCTCTGAGATTGGCTGGGTGAAATCTGGGTTAGCAAACTAAAGAGACAAAGAACATTTACAACAATGGAAAGATTTAACAAAAAACAAAACCTCTCACACAAAATATGTATGAATTTTGTTCAACCTCAGGATGGAAGAAGATCTCAGGCCCCAGAAAGCGCTCGTAGCCAACATCGATGGTAAATGGCTTCTTGGAGATGGCATTAATGCCTGTGTACTGTTTGATCCACTTGGAGCCATCTGTGTCGTACTTATTAAACTCTTTCACAAGGTCGGGGCAGACGTAGCTGAAACGTTCCTTAAAACAGAACATACCATCTGTAAATACTTTGTAAAATTAGGGACATGTTGCAAAAGTGCCTGCATGTCAGATGTGGTGTGGACGATGTTTCACTTCTGCTATGTGACATACAGTAGTCTGAAACAAAGCTTTTATCCATAATTCAAATGCATAAGATTTTAAACTTTCAGAAAAAAAATATTTAAATCACAGTGTGTGCATGCAGACCACAGTGTTGGTCTGTGTGTAAAATGATCTTTAAAATGTTTGGGTCAAAAAAAAAACCCAAAGCCAAATTAACTTGATTTTAAAGCCATAATCCCCCTTAAGTTCTCACATCATTCTGAAGATTTCATATCACAAATGATACCATTTCAGTTTTACAAAAAAAATGAATACATATTTCAATAGCACTTTGTTCTTGTTGTACTTTTACACATGGTATTTGACACATAAAACTACATTAAGCAGAGGTGTCTGACCTTGACAGCTTTAGCTGTTTCCAAAGACTGCTCTGGTGGTATCCCCACTTCACGTTCCCTCAGCAGCTGTTGGGTAAAATATGTAATGTCCCGACCAGCAATGGGGATGTGTTTGATGCAGCTGCCAATGACATAGCCTTCAGCCTAGGACATAATTATGCATAAGTTAAAGGTACAGAATTGGCAAGGAAGTGACAAAAAGAAAACATTAGTGGAAAATAACCCAGGCCTACCACTGGAATGACATGTGTGACTCCATCCCCACTGTCAATTACAGTTCCTGTGAGTGTCCGTTCTCCAACCTGCCGTGATGTCCAGGAGGCAGCTAGTGCCAGTACAGCCTAATACAAGCAGTACACAATTTATTTACAAAAATGTGCTAAAAAAATCTGTCCTTAAATAAACTAGTTTCCTGTTTTAAACTGAGTGAGACAAAAGGAAGTCATCACATTGACGTATGTGCAAATAAAAACTTTTTTTTATTTCAATTTGGCACACTATACAAATGTTATCAAAAACAATAAAAAAACTCAAACATACTTTGCTAAAGACTTGGTATCTAGTGTCAGAATCAAACGTACCTGAACAGCGATGTAAAGACCTGGGACATTGAATGACTCAAACATAATCTCTGCTGTGTACTCTCTGTTTTCTGGTGTGTTGAGAGGAGGCTCTGTCTGAAGGTGCACAAAAAGACCAATTTAATGAGTCCCAACTAACTTTAGCATGAGTTAACTCTTGGTACATTTGTGAGTTTTTATGTCTTAGTTTTTGACTAGTCTTACCAAAAGAAAGTAATGGTCTTCAGGTTCTGCCCGCAGATACTTGAAGATAATCTGCTCCATAAATCTTTCCATTAGGTCCCAGTCCTCCACTATGCCATGACGAATGGGCCACTATGGGGATAAAGAGAAACCAAAACAATCATCAACTCCCTGCAGGGTTTTAAGATAGATTCATCCATAAAAAACACATATTGACAACAATTATACTTTTAGTGTCTACCTTTGTTGCATATGACGGTTTGTCAATGGCTTCGTCCCCAATAAAAAAGTCCAAGTCATCAACACCCTTCATCATCCGGCGCTGAGCCTGATCCCCGACCTTGGCGGATTCCTTGATTGCAATGCCTGAAGACAATCAAAAACATGTGTAAATCTACCTATATATTGGTATCACAAATAAAAAACAAACACACCTTTGCTTGTGATACTTTGTGACAATTCAGCAGATCAACTACACATCTAGTCAATCCCTGTTCATTCATTTTACTGAAAAAAACTCTTACACCATCAAAGATGTATTCAACTTTAGGCGTGCAATAAATCTACACAGCAAATGCAAACTGTACTTACAAGAAGGTATGATAAACTGCGGTTCTGTGTTTCCTGCATAGCCAAGTTTTGTGTACCTGCAAAAAGGTAAAAAAGACCAAAGTTAAGTAAAAAGAACACAACAGCTAGTCAAATTCGCCGGAATAATATTGGTTTCACAGACGCAAGAACAGGAAGTATCGTTAGCGTCAGTAGCTAGACAATTGCAGTGATAAAGCACTATTTAGGATTGAAATAATAACGAGTTAAATCCGTTCGGTACTCGGAAATGCTTGTCCGACACATTGACTGTACCTTCAAGTGATAAAATACTTATCAAAAAGAAGGAAAATGCCGAAGAAATAACACTACCGCCCGTAGTCGCCAAAGCAGAAGCAGGGCGTTAGCTCAAGTTTGACAGCCGTTTAGATGGTCAATGAAATAGCACAGCCAAGCTATGGCTAACGAGCATTTTCTTACCCTGTGCCACAGTCAACAACACAGGCCGGCAGTCGACCAGCCATGCTCGCTTTGCTTTCGTTGACGTTCGAAAACCTATACGTATATACATATATAAGTCACCCAGAATACGGAGATATAGGCGGTTAAACTCCGAAGCTGCTTGAATGAACGGCACTATCGGTGGTTTCAGAACAGCTTCCGGATTCAGTAAGAATTTTCTTCTTGTGCAGAGTCAGCAGCTTAGGCGGTTCCATGACGCCCCTGCGTGGGCAAGGCCTGTTACTGCAGCCCTGTAAGAGATGACGCAGCTTTTAATAAACGTTTCTCCGATAAACGATGATCTAAGAAGAAATTAAATGAAGTAAATAATAAAATCATTAGTAGGAAAAACAGTACTTTTTAAATTTTACAAACTTTGAGAATAATTTTCAAGAGGAGAATAAAATTACATTGCGAAAAAATATATATTTAATTAAACAGATCTAAGACGGGGAAATGACATGTTACAAATTAGAAAGAAAGAAAACCAATAAAAAATGAAGAAAAACTGTTTCACATCTGTGTCAATGTGACAGAAATTAATCTTAAACAGCTCAGGCCTTCTTAAAACTGATAAATAAACACACAAAATAACTCGTGATTAGCTTGATTTATCAAGATAATATCAACATTCCTAAATGTGGCCAAAAAAATACTTTTATGTGTTTTGCTGTAACAGAGGTTTACAACAGGTAGAAGTATGTGTGTTGTTAACATGTCTGAACATGTCTTAATGACTAAAGTGCCAAGAAAATATGCAGAAGTACAACTCAAACCCCTGTATCTTAATGGTCTACAGTCCCTCGTAATCCATCTGGTAAAGGTGTCAGTCAGTTTGACAGCTGTAGACAAACTAAGTGATCTACAGTCCGTGAAGCAGGTTTACCCTGCTGGGCAGCTCTAGGGAACTTGAACCCTCCACAAAGGCATGCTGGGCGTTTAAGCTCGTGCAGTGTCTGTACAGTAAATAACAATTTGTGTATTGATTAGTTGGGTCATAGCATATGAATTTGTGCTGAACATGCAGTCACATGATGACTACAGTGGAAAAAAGAAAGCATAACAACAATGAATTTTAATGTAAAATTAATAATAATAAAAAAAATCAAAATACTTAAATTACTAGAAATCTGAAGATTTGTAACTTTCATATGTAAATGACCTACTTTTTTTGGAATTCTGCCATTTATTCATCTTAGTTTTCCTTCAAAGTACTAACAAACTAAATGCTGCATTACAACTATAACTACATGGAGGGTCACCGATGAAGACAATATATGAGCAGGAGAAGCAGGAGATAACTTTAGGCTTTGAATGTTTTTCTAGATTTTACGACATGAGAGCCAAACCCAGGGCATGAGAACGTTGTTCTTTTGTCCCCAGGCACACTCATCAATCACACAAGAGTGTCTTCATCACACAGAGTATTACAGAGTAGCCCTTAGCTCTTCTGCTCATACAGTTGTGCTGTCCTGGCTTTCTTTATGACAACACAACAATTCATAGAAGCTCTTTATGGAGAAACCATGTATCTAAGACTCAGTCTCAAGACTAATCTCTGGTACTACAAGACTACAGCACTGGTAACACAAACTATTTGGATTTACTAGAGATTTCTATGGAAACCTGTTTCACAAACCCACGTTAGTGTTATACATACTGGTGTTGGATATAATACACTTCATATACCATTATATCTGCTGAAACCCTGTTGTATATTTTTAACCCATTTATAAACGCATTTACATAACTACTTTAAGTCTTCTTCTTTTTCTTTCAGCTTGTCCCTTTTTCAGGGGTTGCCACAGCGAATCATCGTTCTCCATCTCTCCCTGTTCTCTGTATCTTCTACTCTGACTCCAACTATCTGCATGTCCTCCCTCACTGCATCCATACATCTCCTCTTTGTCTCCTACCTGGTAGCTCCATCCCATTCTTCTACCAATGTCCAAACCATCTCAATCTGGCTTCTCTAGCTTTTTCTCCAAACCTTCCTGTCTGTGTTGTCCCTCTAATGACCTCATTCCTGATCCTGTCCATTCTTGTCACTCCTAAAGAGAATCTTAGCGTATTTAACTCTGCCACCTCCAGCTCCACTGTAACTACTTTAAGTAATTCTCTTTAAAGAGACAGTTTTTTAAACTGTATTGATATAAATGCAATATTCACCTGCGATAATGGTGATTGATACTGCAGACGTGTTAACCAAGTTAGCCTGTTAGCATTGGTCACAAGAACATTGAACAAGGGCACAAAGTTTTACAAACTTAGGAGACAATTATTTACACAAAACTCAAAAGAATAACTAATTACTACCTAACAGTTTATGTTGAAACAAAAACTGCGTGATACAGAGAATAAATTGTAACTTACTGCTATTTTACTGCATTCCAGTTCTTCTGTGTAGTACATTTTCATATATGGTTGAATTCCTCATCCTTGCGTCCATCTTGTAAGTATTACAACCATCTTGACCCACAGCATATGTTTTACAGATGGAAAATATCAAGACGACACGCCATAAAGTGCATGTACTAAAATACAATGAGCTTCATGTTTTTGTTTTTATAGCCATCTGCTGCCGCCTAGTGGAACATTACGTAATTGTTTTGCCTGTCATTGTTGCGTTGACATAGGACGATAAATTGTTTGCAGTAAATAAATAATGCTCTTCATCGTCATCTTCCTTTGTCTGCTATATTTAGTTTCCCTGTCTAAAAACTGTATCTTCAGCTCTCAGTGTTTCTTATTACTTTGTCCTTCTTCAAAAAGCTGTTAAAGCACAAATTGAAACCTTAGTTGACTTTGAAATATGTGTTTCAAACAGACCTTGCTGATGCATTAGAGCTGTTGTCTGGTCAAGGTATGGCCTGAGACAACTAAGCAGTTTTTCTTTCAGCTTCTGTCTGCGCTCTCTATATAAAAATACCTGTACCTGGTTGATGTTACTGGTCAGCCATACATCCAACTAATTTTTGATTTTGTTGCAGTATATGCAGTATACAGTAATACTGTTCATTTCTGCTTAAATATAAAAGTAACAAAAAAGTGCAAATTAAGAAAAGTCCAGAAAATCTTCATCTAATAATCAATGACTGAATGAATGAAGCCCCAAACAACCAAACTACTACACTAATTCCCTTGACCTGAGAGGAAGTTACTGACTTGAGCTGCAGCAGATGAGTGATCTGCTGCAGTTCCAACACAGGTGACAGAGAGCACACATATTCACATCATTAGTGAGAGACAGGGCTGGGCCTTATTATTTTTAATAATCTCCTGTTTTTGCAGTTTCTTAACCTTGGGAGAGTTAGAGTCGAGACCTCCTCCTACTCTGTTTGTGGCCTTAATGATGCTCTGTCATTCTGGCACCCTCAACACTGCTGCTGGATGTTATTCTGCTGCACGACAAACACACACACACACACACCCTTTTTTTTTCTTCTTAATGACATAACATACATTGGACAGTTATTCATAATCATGGCAGTACATTAGGCACAAACAAAGCAGCAGATTGTCAGAGGCAGCCACAGCACTATTAGCTGTTATTAAAATGGTTCTGCTCATGTTGTTTTCCCAAGGCAATAAAAGACCAATGAAAACCTGATACATGTTGATTTGGTCAAGCTGATGATACATGTGCATGTTAAACACAAACAAACAATTTAAAATGGTATGCAAACAAACTATTAGTACTTAAAAAGATTTTTAATCTTTAATTTATCTTGTGAGAAACTATAGTGATCAAAATGATGTCCAGCAACTGTTACAGACTAGTTAAACATGCTGATCATGTTTTAACAAATGTTTGACAAGTGTATATTTAACAGAATGTTATGGTGTTGTAATCATTACAACCCACCCTGATGGACATTTTTCAGGGGAACAAGTTGAATGAGCTTTTTGCAGGAACCTCTCTCTCTCTCTCTCTCTTGCTCTTGCTACAGATTGAAAACATAAAATCCATCCATTCACAACACTTCAAATTTTCATTTACTCAACATTTATTTCCATCACATTCCAGCACAACATTCCCAGTCTGTACAGCAAAACCCCATAATTATTTATCACATCATCCATCAGTGCCTTAACACAAAAATATGCTTGTTTGCTACCACGGAAACCCAGTTATTTCCCAGTATATATATATATATATTTATTACGATCAATCATTTTTAGTTTCTAAACAAATATTTAAAAAATAAATCACCGCAGGACACATAAATAAAGCTATATCTTAAAATGTGTTTGGTTAAATTGTTATTTGAAAATGCAAATGAAAAATGTGAAGACCTTTGTGTTTTCAAAGGCAAATATGTTAAATGTGGGAAACAGTCAAAAGTACAATTTCTAGTTATATCAACCATTTTCTTGCTCTTTGAAGTATTTAAAAAAAAACATGTCAAAAACAGTAGTTTGGTTAATATTCTCAAGCCCATATGTCATGTGTGAGAAAATCAAAGATGGCCTGACAGCTGTGGCTGTAGAGAAACGGCTAAACCAGCCACAGTCACATCCTACAAAATCGACT